CTCAGTTTACAGCACTTACGATTTATAATGGTTCTTTGAGACATAACCTTAAAGCAGAATGAGGTGCATCTGTATTTTGATTTCCATTCATGATTCCTGGCTCGTAGCTCCTATAGTCCTGGTAATTCTCACAGAACCAGAGCACTAAGAATATCTTTTGTTAAGTTATTTTTCCTCTGGCCCTTGATTCTTGAAACAGCTCCAGAATAACTTCAGAATGACAGAGGTATAGGACAGTCTTGTTCAACCACACCTGAGGTTCTATAAACGAGGTGATTTTTGCAGAACCCCTAGATGCCCACAGGATGGCGTGGATGCCAGGGGAGCCAGTCTATGTGCACAGAGGGTCAGAAGACGGCTCATGGGAGCAGAAAGGGACTGAAGGTTGAATTAATGACCAAGGAAGAATGATCCGATCAATCATCCCCAACAATATGAAGCCCTATTAAAAACTCAAAGGATTACGTTCAAGGGCTTCCAGACAGGTGAATAAGAACACATCCATGTGCTGGGAGTTGGACTCACCACAGCTCTACAGGGATGAAAGCCCCATGCTCAGGATCCTTCTAATGCTTGCCCTGCATATATCTTCATTGGGTTACTTATTTGTATCCTTTAAACACAAGCTACACACACACACACATACACACACACACACACACACACACACACACACACACACAGTAAAGGTCAGTGGCCTGTCAGGTACTTGGGTTTCAGGGGAGGAGGTGAGCTGTGAGCAAGCAAATCCTGTGAGCTGCACATGCTCCTGGCAGGGATCTAGGTCAAGGGGACCCCAAACTATCCTCATTCTCTTCCCACCCACCCCACCCCTCTCTGTAGGAAAAACCATCTTCCGTGAAACCCGTCCCTTATGCCAAAAAGATTGAAGACCACTGCTTTAAAATATTCTTTGTAATAAACAAGAAATACAGAAAACATTTACTGACAAAAAAATTCTAAGAGCGGCTCCCGGAGCCCTGATAACCAATTCTATCATTTGTCATCAATAATATAACAAAATCCATGCTTTCCATCATGAACTCATAACTAATAATTGGGTTAGCTACAACATGGTTCTTAACTGCTGCTGCTAAGTTTGGACAAAGCTGTTTGTTTACTGACCTCTAATCAAAGCAGCCCCACCCTTCCCACGTAGTCTGAGAAAGGTTTCCCAGTGTCAGGGAGTGAAGGTTATCCCTGAAATGGCAGAATGGCTCATCCCAAACTCCTGGAATGCAATAACTTCTAAAACACACGAATTGTCATTATGTGAGCGAACAGACTGAAAAGAATTTGAGGAATTCCAAAGGTGGATGAGAACAAAGGACAAAATGAGTCAACTTATACTTTCTAGTTTCAAATAGACATCATAGAAAAGATAACTGGCAGAGTTCCATACTCTCATGAATCTATTGCTATTCTCTCAAATTGTGCATATGAATGAGTCCTGCATATGTGATTCTAAAAGATTAAATATATAGGGCTGGGATGTAGCTCAATGGCATAAGTGCTTGCTTGGCAAGCTTGAGATCATGAGTTCCATTCCTGGTACCAAAAACAAAAGTTTAAATATAATTAGTAAAAGCCTAAATTTAAACCTCCCTTAATAGCATTCCAATTCTGATAGATTATTTAGGGCCCACTAATTAATCGGGAGCTCTACTTCAGCCTTAAGATTAAAAAGAAAAGATAAATAAATAAATAAATACAAACAAACTAAGTGATATACATTTGGAAAAGAAATACATAGAGCTAGGGGTCCTTTCCTTCATGTAATGTTCTTTATACATATTTATAGACAGATTTTTTTAAAATTCTAAATATATGTGTCCCTCTTTGATAGATCAAATAAAATAATTGTATATAAAGAAATCACTTCTTACTTTGCTGATAAGGGCATTATTAGCAGGTCACTGTTGATTTGGAAGCATATAAATTGCACTATCATGAAGATAATTTGTCTTTTCTCTGTTTGATCAGACCTCTTCAAATTTGTCTCTTTGGTACATTTGCCTGCATTATAAGGAAGGATTATTAAATAGTATATTGGAAATGTAGCTCTACAACTAACTGATAGAGTGCAGTATGTTGGTGGCATGGTGTAATGAGAAAAATATGTTTGGGAAAGCTCAGGAGATGGGATTAACTAGAACTTTCCGCAGAGGACATTAGGGTATTGGGTTTTTATCATATTTAAATGGGAAGATTCCAAATCTGAGAAACAATCTACAAGAAAAATGTCAAACCTTAGTGGAAAAGACGAAAAAAAAAAAATGCCAGGGATATAGCTCAGCGGCACAAGCACCTGCCTGGTAAGCGCAAGGTCCCGAGTTCGATTCCCCGTACCAAAAAAAAAAAAAAAGTAAGTGGGACCTATGTAAAAAGAACAACAATAAAAAAAAATTCAATACTGTATTAGGCAAACTGACACCTGTACAACTAATTAAAGTTTCCAAAGGTGCTTTAACATATCTTGTTCACTCATAATAGCTCTGTCAAGTGTTTAGCGTTATTCTAGCTTTACAGCTGAAGTAGCCACGTTTTTTTCTGAACATAACAAGATAAGGAAAAGGTAATGGTACAAGGAATAAAGCTAAAAAAAGAACTTCTGTCCAGGCTGCAGGGAGCTGGAGATTATGATAAAGCCGGGAGTACCTAACCGGGGAGAGAAGAGGGCCGTCTCTGTGGAGCTGAAAGCTATGTCAGGGCTGTATGAAGTCCTGAATGTGAGACAAAATACAGATGGGAAAAAGCTCTGGAGTAAGACAAGTGACCTGGGTAGAGATACAAGGGAGATTCTCTTTTCCCAGAAATACGCAGGTTTGACCTTTTTTGCATGACTGCTAACTTGAAAGGGACATTGGAGATCTCTGGTCTGGCTGTAGATTAAAAGCCTATACATTTTCTGAAGAGGATGAAATTTTATTTTTCACTCAAAAGGGTTTTGAAAAGCATGTTTTCTAAAATAATTGGAAGAATTTTTACTTTTTTCACTTTTTGTCAAAGTCGAGATAGAATGGATAATAGCCAAGAACATAACTTTATGTATAACTAATAGGACAAGGAAGGAAATACGCCGTCCCTTCATCAACCTAAAAATTAACATGTGGAATCTCTTCTCTGTTTTGGATCGGTATGTTACCTTTCAAAAATCGAAACTATACAAATTGTTGCAATATTTTGCTATTATAACCTATGTGCAATTAAATTTTTTGCTCTTTGGCTATTGAGAACTTTCGTAAAATCTTCTTTAGAAATATGCTCATTGAGGTCCTGAGGCAGCTGCCAAAGGACTTACAGTTAGTACTGTCAATGCATTTTTCTGTAAATTTGTGGGGAGCCGAGCCATCAACAATAGCAGAAAGAAGGAGAAGGAAGAAGGAAAAGAAGGGAGGGAAGAAAAGCGGGAGAGGCGGGGAGAGAAGAAAACAGAAAAGAAAAAGTTGAGACTGCTTTGTTGTATTGTTTCCCCAGTTTGTGGATGAAATGGCTTGCACTTCTGGACGGCCAGGGGTGAGGCCGCTTTGCTGCGGGTTGAACAGTGGGTGCCGATTGTATTTGTTGCTGCTTGGCGCCGTTCGCGTTAGATTTAGGGAGCGCACAGACCTGCGCAAGAGAAAGCGGGAAATGAATGGAGAGAAGAGTGAAGGTCAGGTTGACAGCGGTCAGGCTCTCTGGGGTCCGTTCTTTGGCTGGTGTCAAGGGGATGAGCGCTGTGACAGATGGATGCTGGAGGTGCGCAGGGCAAAAGCACTCTAATAAAAGCTTCCAGGAAAGAATGCAGGCGACCTAGGGAAATGTGCTGCGGTCAAGCTTAATCCTGGGAAAGGAGGCCCTGGAGAAAGCAGATGAGAAAGATAGGAAGGAAGATAGGGAGGGGGAGACGCTGGGTGCGGAGGGAGGAAGTGGGGTGGGGGCCTGAAAAGTGAGAGGGAGCGGGCGCTACCGGGGGCCGGCACGGCCGGGTTGAGGACCCGAGGGTGGGCAGAGCGGGGGTCCGGGAGGACGAGTCGGCAGAGCCCGCGCGCCCCGGCGGACGGGCCAGGACCCGGCGGGGGGC